GGGCAGCCCCCGCTGTGCCCCCCGCCCGGGTCCCGCTGAACCCCCCCCCCGCCGCTCCGCAAACCCCTTCCCTGGGCCGGGAGGAGCGTCCGAGGGACGGGAGGAGGCGGCGTTTCTCCGCGGGCAGAGCCCTCGGGCTGAGGTTTGGAGCAGACGGACCATCCCTGCCCAGGGACCTGCTGCCGGGGCCGCCCGTGGCCCCTCGCCCGGCTGCTGCTGGCACCGGCCACTCGCCCATCACCAAGAGTCCCCCGCAGCCTGTGCCGAAAGGCTCCTCTGCCCCCGCGGCTGGGGGCTCCTCACCCGCCGGAGGGACAAACCCAGCCAGGCACGGGGCACCAAAGGGAAAACGTCTCCTGTGGTTCCCGCAGGACTAACGGCCCCCCGGCCGCCTCCGCACAGCCCCCCGGTGCCGCCGCCGGCTGGGAAGGCGGGCGCTGCTCCCGCTCCCCCCGGGGTGTCACCGCACCCGCACCCCGCCACCCGCTTCCATCCAAACCGCCCCGCGTCCCCCCGCCGGCACCCCGTCGGGTGCCCGCACTAACTGTCCCTCGGGGATCGGTCCTGCCCCTCGCACGGAGGAATCCCCGCCGGCAGCGGAGCGGCGGGGCCGGGCCGGAGCTGCGGGACCTGCACGGGAGGGCGGGCCGGGAGAGGAAAACGCAACCGCTGGCGTCTGCCGGGGACGGGGGGACTGGGCCTGGGGGCAGGAGTGCCGGTATAGCTCAACGTGCAGGGAAATATTTCCACTGAGGAATTTGCGATCACAGGAAATGGTGAGAAGTCTCTGTCTGGGCAGAGCGCGGGGCTTCTTGAATGTCCTCGGTGCGGCTTCAGGTTCCAGGGGGGCTCCAGGATCCTGCCCGGGGCTCAGCTCCGGGGGCAGCCCGGGGTGACACCGCCTCCCCTCCCCCCGCACACCCCCGCACCTGCAAACTCTCACAAATCCTGTAAAATACGTTCTCAAGTACAGGAGAGTAAAGTCAACTGCGAGAGGTTACGTGAGCTCTGCCACGCTCACACAGGTATTATGGGCTGGAAACATCTGATCCTTGACTCAGTGTGAGAAAACAGACAATTACCCACCCCCCAGCCCCACCCCCCGAGAAAAATAGTCCTGAAGTAGGCATAATTCTGCTATCGAGTGGTCGTTTTATTTTTGCTCTTCCAATCTTCACACCTCTTCAGGCACTACTAGACTTTGATGGTCCAGGGACCTAAGTATTCCGCAAGTGTGAAATTCGAAGCTCTTAAACAAAAATAAAGTCTATCTCTAGATTTAAAGTTTCCAAGAGTTTTATGAGCCTTCATAAATACGGACCCAGAGCCAAAAGAGCTGCTCTCTTGGTTTCCTGAGAAAGGAAGCCAGCACATCGGCAAACGTGGCGAAAACAAGAGGTTCTACTTCTGTGGTAAAATGCCTTTCTTTTAGGGAACAAGCACACATCAAAGGTGCTGGCAACGTAGTGCCATGGAATAGTTTGGGATGGAAGGGACCTCAAAGCCCCCCCAGTGCCACCCCCTGCCCTGGGCAGGGACACCTCCCACCAGCCCAGGTTTCTCCAAGCCCCCTCCAACCTGCCCTTGAACCCCTCCAGGGATGGGGCAGCCACAGCTTCTCTGGGCAACCTGGGCCAGGGTCTCACCACCCTCACACCAAACAAGTTCTTCCCCACAGCTCAGCTCCATCTCCCCTCTTTTGGTTTAAAACCGATTTAAACGCTTTTGCAAAGAGAGCGGCTGCGGCGGCGGGAGCGGGGGCTGCGGGATCCAGCACCACGGACAGCGCGCGGCGCGGGGGGCGGGGCCAGCGGCGGAGGGA